CACTTAGCTAGTAATACCCAAAGCCATAGCGACTGGGCACATGACCCTAATTCTTGATGTGAGGAATCAGGGAGAGGTTTGTTACAAACACTTGCAGAGCTGTAATGAGGGGAAAAGTGATTAATGGAGAGGTCCCCGGGAAAACAAAATCAAAAAGAATATAGCACAATACCTAAGTAAATACGAAGAGAAAAAAATAATGATTTTGAGGTGAATTCTCAAGAGTTCTCCTTTGGGAAGAAACCATCAGGGCTGCATGGGAGCAATTACATATCTTAGACGAGGGTCTGTTCAGAAGCAGTCACCATTCAGCTTTCCCAAGGAGAACATCTGGCTGCCTCCTTCTGCATACTACAGATCATTTGGGGTAGAATGGGTAAGATGACATATAGCTAGAGACAGGGAGATCTTTTGTCCACAGTGTACGCTCCAAAGAAGTAGGGGAAAGCCATAATGATACTCAAACCCAAATAATGGCTAATCATCCCCGTAAGACAAGGGAATTTTTTTATAAAAGCTAAAATGCTCATTTCCATATCCATCAGCAGGGTCAGAAGACTACTGGGCCACTTACTCAGTTACTGACCAACCTACAGACCAACGGAGAAACACAGTTCAATACAAAGGACTCGCAGGCTTTAAATCAATACACAAAAGCTCTGTCCATTCTCATATGTAGTCATTCTTTTCAATTCATGGAAGATTGGGTTTTTATGCAATTCCAAGGGTATCTATGAAGATAACACAAGATCTCTAGGCAACACAGTCACCATTAGCTACAGCTTGCCTGTCAAAGCATTGACATCCATGATACCTTTGACCACTGGTTTTCAAATAGCTTGTATACATCTTAAGAGAGAGCCTGTAGTCAAGAGCGACCTTTTACAGAGTACACGGAGGAGTAGCATATTCTTGGAAAAGTTACAGTTCTAAACATTTATTGGGTACCTTAGAGAATCATTTAACAATCTTTTATTGAATGCCCACTCTGCTAGATACCTGTTTACAGCAATAAACAAGACAGATGTGGTCCCTGCTCTTAAAGAGTTTATAATCTAAGAGTGTTCATCAAAGAATATGTTCCCTTGGCCCTTCCATGGCTGGCTCCTCACCCTTCAGGTCTCATCTCAGATGTTATTTGCACACAGAAGTCTTCCCTACCAACCCTTTCCAAGCTGACTCCCCCTCTTTCTAGTCAGTCTCCAAATCACCTTTCATAGTACCTACCACAATCCTTAATTATCTTGTGTGGGTTTGTTATTTATGTATCTCTTCCTATTAGCTTCATAAAACAGAGGATTTGTATTCTCCACTGTATTCCCAGTGCCTTGATCAGTAAATATTTGCTGAATGTTGAATTAAAGAAAATATAAAGAATAATAAAGGGTGGCTCACACCTGCAATCCCAGCACTCTCGGAGGCCGAGGCAGGAGAACAGCTTGAGCTCAGGAGTTTGAGACCAGCCAGAGCAAGAGCGAGATCCTGTCTCTACTAAATGTAGAAAAAATTAGCTGGGCATGGTGGCGTGCACCTGTAGTCCCACCTTCTCTGGGAGGCTGAGGAAGGATGATTGCTTAAGCCCAAGAGTCTGAGGTTGTAGTAAGCTATGATGACGCCACTGCACTCCACCCAGAGTGACAGAGTGAGACTCTGTCTCAAAAAAAAAAAAAAAAAAAATAATAATAATAAAGGTTTTCATTATTTTACCCAAAAGACTAGGATGTAGGTTAGCCATTAAAGAGAGTAATGAGAGAGGTAGATCCAGACTTTTTCAAAGAATAAAATTCAGAGTTCTAAATATCTTCCCATCGGCCATGGCAGCCCTTAGATATGGTCATAAGCGTATGTATTTTTGTGTATAAATACACTGAGTGTATGAAATCCCCAAGGTACTCACAGTAGCGAACACCTCCCAGACATCACTAAGACCTAAGAGCTATACCTGCCGGCAAAAAAACACCCCAAAATGGTTCTTACAGGTTGAATTGTGTCTCCCTGTCCTCATTCATATACTAAAGCCCAAACCCCAGAATCTCAGAATGTGACCTTATTTGGAGATAAGGTCTTTATAGAGGTAATCAAATTTAAATGAGGTCATTAGAGTAGGACCTAATCCAACAGGTGTCCTTATAAGGTTAGGAGGAATGAGGAATGACTGCTGAATTGGTACAGGTTTCTTTGAGGAGTGGGTGAAATGTTAATAAGTAGATAGTGGTGATGGTTGCACAACTCTACATATATTAAAACCACCGAATTATATACTTCTAAAAGGTAAATTTTGTGGTATATGAGTTATTAATATATTCAGTAAAGCTACCATTAAAAAAAAGAGGAGCAGCCTTGGATGCCATGGCAACAAATGAAACCAATGTAAAAATACTTTGGACAAAAGTATCATAGAAATATTGTACTACATTTTAGATATTATACATTCCATGCTTATAAAAACATACATATGTATACATTGTGACAAAAGTATGGCCTTCTACTAACTCTGCTGGTTGCTATCTTGTCCTAGGAGAATCTTAATTCACATCAAAGTACTTAACTCAGCTAGTTCCTGAATATTCAGTTAATAAAATTATAATAAAATGCAACCTAAACTTGCTAACGTAAACCCCAGGGGCTTGTCCTGCTTAAAAAGGGAAAAGGAAAAAAAGCTGCAAAACACACCAAGGGCCTATATTAAGGCCAGAGAGGATAGTAAGAATCTAGATCTAGTGAAAATGTTATCCTCCTACATTCTTTTGGGAGCAGCTTATCAGGGTTTTCTATAGAGAAATTAGGCAAGTGAACAACTACAAACATACTGCTTTAATAAAATAACCACCAACACTGAAACAAATCTTTCTCCTCTTATGCTGTTTAATAAAAACACATTATCTCAAAAAAAAAAACAAAAAAACCCCACATTATCTCATTTTCATTTCAATAGTATTTCTATTGAGGCGTAAGTGTTTACACCCATTTTAATGAAAAGGAAACTGAGGCACAAAGTCACCCAGTCAATGAGAAAAGGAGTCAGTTCCAAGCTCTGTGCTCTGTCATATTGAGTTCTGTTTTCTCCCTTCATTCCTCTTCCTGTCTTTCATAGGACTGAGTCCACTTTTGCTCATGTTATTTTCGAACATGAACTGAGCCCCCAAGAAATCTTAATTTCCTCATTTTTCTCATTTGTTGCATTCATTCCATAAGTCTCCATAGGAAACACCTGCTCAGAGTACATGTTAAATGTTTTTGAACAAATAAATCAACCTGACCAGGCCTCTCTGGTTAGTTTCATCTTTCATGAATAATGAATGAAAGGACTCAAAAACCTATAAAAATGTTTGCAGGGATATAGATTTCCTTCCTAGTTGCTGAAAAAAGTTTTAGAACTGAATCAGAAATGCTGTTACTGAGCTGGCCCTGTGAAATGACTTCTTGAACCGTCCAACTCTTGCTTCTCAGCCAGTGAAATGACTGGATTCTCTAGATGGGAAACCTACAGGCAAGATCTTTAGCTCTACCTATCACCTGAATCCTCACCTTTCACAAATATTCTGATATTTCCCAGCAACTACCTGCTTTCCAAGTTATCAGGCATCATTTTCTTTCTCTCTTTCTCCCTCTCCTTCTCCTCCCTTCCCCACAAGTAGCATTTACTTCACACTTTCTTGTGAGGCATGAAGGTTTTCACTGGTCTCAGAACACCAATGGGAAGCCACTATGACATAAATGGTGAAATAACTTCATAGAGTGTCACCCATCAAAGTAGTGGAAGATCTAGGAATTTACTATACACTGCCCTGGCTAAGCTTTTCCCCAAGATGGGAAGCACCAAATACTAACAACATGAACAAGGCAGTGCTCTTATGAGAACATTAGTGCTTAGGGATGAAATCAGAGTAGTTCTTTTTTCTTGGGTAACTGAAGAGTTAGTAGTTTTGTTTTCAACACATAAAAAGGGCTGAAGTACAATAGTAAATCCAGGTCTTAATTTTCAAAACTAGGTGGAAATACAGACCAGGGCATTAGTAACATTCCTGCATTTGTTAAAAAGGTAAGTTCTGTATTTAAATTAGATTTCCACCTATTCAGCCCTCAACCTCCTCCTCCTTCTTTACCATGATTTTACAGCCTTGGCCTTGGTTAATTAATACTTCCATGACACCACCCTATAGAGGTACAAATAAAGAATTTTTACTTAATGTGGAAAAAACCGAATTTTAAATACAGACACGCATATCTCCTTTCATATTTAAATATGAAAGAATGCACATTCACAAATGCAACATCAGTGAAAATCATTTGCTCTAGAAATTTTCCCTAAGCTTAAAAAGTTTAAAGAAGGCATCTTTTAATGTTTGAACTAAATGAATGAACATAATTTTACCAGTGATAAGATGTTCTCTAGGGAAAGGAACCACAGACTTTTAGAGCTATAAGAAACATCAGAAATCATTAACACATCGACTGCCACACCAGAAAAAAAAATGTTTTCCCTGGGGCCACAGTGTTTTATTAAAATGATCCTTTCTAAATTTGTTATCTTTTATTGTTTTCTGTGCGTGAGTTATATGCAATGTAAGCCACATTTTTAGAATTAAATTGTCAATATTAATTGTAACAGTAAGAACATCAACAAGTAAGATTTTCTCGAACTAACCGCAGGGTTTTGCTTCACGGGGCCCCAGGCTCGAAACTAGCCTGAGTTAAATACAACTCACATGGCAGTCAATGTGTTAAGCACAACTTCACTTTGAAGATGAGAAATCTCCCAAATTAGTGATTATCAAATTCTATAGCTGGTTAATCCCAGGCATGGGTTTTGGCTTCTGACTCCTAGTTTAGTACTGCTAAGTTCTTGTAAATGGAATATACTTAACCGGTTAATATCAAAATCAAAGGCAGAGAGTCAAAAATCAGAATTGCTCTTACCACATACATGAATGACATTACACAGAAGCTCTGTTTCAACTTTAGTATTTTACGCCATAAATTCTTAACTAGTGACTCACCCTGCTGAGTTGATCCAATAACCTTTGGTTCTGTTCTGATAGCTCCTGAACAGCCCGTGTTTTTTCTCGATCTGCTTCCCGCAGATGAACTTGCTGCCTCTCTAACTCGTCCTGTAGCTGTTTCACATCACTCTCCAGCTCTGACACTCGCCCTTCCCACTCCCCTTCTCGGTTCTCGAATCGTCTTCTCAGTTCATGTTTCTCTTGTTCTAAGTGCTGGGTGAAAAGTGAAGAGGATTTAAATACTGTTAAAAATTCCGCAGCCTTTTTTTTTTTCCCCCACACTTTACTAACTTCTTTTTCCCAGTTAGCACAATAAAATGCCCTGCAACACAGGACAAGTTACCCAATACACAGCTACAAAAATATTCCCTTCATCCACAGCAGCGAAAGAGTTGCTTTCACAAGGAGAACACCATTCCTACTAAAAATACTCAATGTTATGTTTATTCTTACCCTTGGGCATGAGAATTCACTTGAAATTTCACAAGTCAACTTTTTTGGCACCACGGACTGGTTTCATGGAAGACAATTTTTCCATGGATAGGGGCAGGGGGTGGCAGGGAGGAATGATTTGGGGATCATTAAAGCGCATTACATTTATTGTGCAGTCAAGCCTCTCTGCTAATGATAATCTGTATTTGCAGCAGCTCCCCAGTGCTAGCATCACCACCTCAGCTCAACCTCAGATTGTCAGGCATTAGATTCCCATAAGGAGCATGCAACCCAGATCCCTCGTGTGTGCAGTTTACAGTAGGGTTCCTGCTCCTATGAGAATCTAATGCCACCGCTGATCTGACAGGAGGCGGAGCTCAGGTGGTGATGCCAGCCATGGGGAGCAGCTGTAAATACAGACGAAGCTTCACTTGCCCACCACTCACCTCCTGCTGTGCATCCTGGTACCTAATAGGACACGGACTGGTACTGGTCCCAGGCCCGGGGGTTGGGGATCACAGATCTGAGCAGTGATTTATCAATCATTTAAACAACTAAAAATAAGTCCCATAACCAAAATGCTCATTACTTTTTTAAGGAGGTTTCTTCTGGAATTATCTATCATGCATGACATAATACCAGGCTTTTACAATCAGAGTTTTCCAGAGATCACAAGAACTCCAGAGAGCCTTCAGATTAACCATCTCTTTTTACAAATGAAGCAGCAGAGGATAAGAGAGAGGTTCAGTGACTAGCTCAAGGGTCGGTCAGTACTAGTAAATAGTAGAACTGGGATTTATGTCTAAGTCACTGGACTTAGTACTCTAAATCATAGCTCAATAAATATTTGAGGCTATATATAGCACTGTATTTCAAAATCATTAAGGCAAGCTCAGGTTCGGGACTACTCTAAATCATGGCCTATTAATTAAGCCTTGCATATTTATTTCTGATGCATTCATTCAATTCTGAGTGCCTACCATGGGGCTAAGCACTGTCCTGGGGACACAGTAATGAGCAAAACAGACACAGTCCTTGCCCTTACGGAGTTTTCAATCTAGTGGGATAGAATGATAAAACAAATTGTTTCAAAAAATAAAATAAATTGTGTGTGGAAAATGGTATGCAGGAAAAGTACAGATGGTTTGAATCTCAATAAAAAAGAATTCCTTTGAATCGAAGGAAATAGTATCTTTTTGTTTCTGTGAGATAAACATGTATACTTCTCTACAGAGGCAAGTATGTTCTCCTACTTAAAAAGCATAGTATGTACAACAGCCAAGTCTATACTTCAAGGAGTATATGAAATGTAAATTAAAGTAATGACCTTTAACTTTTGGTGCTCCCAGGAAAGTTCTGGTGTAATTGTTCAAAATAATACCCACCTTGACCCCAATTCCCGAGATTGTGATTCACTTAAGAAGGGGACGAGGTCCAAGCATGTATGTGTATGTACGTATGAATATATCTGTATATGTACATACATTTGGTTCTTCAGGAAATTCTGACGCACTGAAGATTGACATCAAACACTGAGATTGTTTCAATAAGCTAAAATGAGCATTTGAATCCTCTACTTCAGAGTACTTAGTCATCTCTTCACCTTGGGAAACTACACTCCTATTCTACTGATGTTCTCACCTTTCAAAATATTTTTTGGAATGCTTCTTTTGGCAAGTCTTAGGGGATAGCTTACAATCATGCAAAAAAATCAGTCCCATTACTTCACATCTGAGGTGTGTCTAAAATATGAGATTATCCCACTTCATCCTGCCAGCTTATTCCCCTTACTTTGATCTGAGTGACTTGTGAATGTTTCTGAAAGTCAAATTTACCCCCTAACAGATGAAAATTTACCATGATTGAGAGCAGTCAAAAGAACCTGCCACAAGATAAAAATGGCAATCTAAAATTAAAATTTTAAGCACATTAGCAAAGGCAGTTTTCACTGAAAACTCCTAAGTTGACCTAAAGAAGATAACTCATTTGGATATAGCCACTCTAGTACCTTTGTTGAAAAAGTCACATTACTTTATACAGTTTCAGTTTGAAGCACGTGGGAAAAGGAATAAAAAGGGAGGGACTTCTACTCATCAGTATGAGAATTTTTTGCTCTATGCTTTTCTCATATTGCTAACTTCCAAAAATGAGAATGTTTTAGTCACTACAGAAACTTCAGAAAGATGGGATTCAGAAACAAATGCTAATGCAAACCTAAAATTGTGTACTTGGTTTTACTGAATTTTTCCAAAATGAAAAAGATTGAGCAGAAGGCAACGGCAAGAACTCAGTAATCACAGTGTTACTGAGAGGCCAGATAAATTAGGCTTGTGTTCTAAAAGAACAGAGAGACTTAAAAATATTCAGCAAACAGCTGTTAGTGAACAGCCCAACCAAGCAACTAAAACAATCCAATCCAATCGGGAGGGGGCTGAGGACAGGTGGTGCTGATCAGTCTATTCTGTCTTTACGTTTCCTTGGACATGAGACAAACTTGCTATTTCAGGTTTCCCAACCCTTTGACAAAATCAAGAGTTTCCTATTAATGAACATACAGAATTTAGCCTTTGGTCTACTCTGAGAAAAGAAAAGTTTCTCCTAAAATATTTTCGATTAAGAGCTAACTTAAACAGTAAAACTCTAAGGGAGGTCAGGTCCTGCCTATGCTCTGCCCTGTTTCTCAGGGTTAAATGGCATTTTAAAAGTTAATATCAAAACTGTCAAGGTCATCAAAAACAAGGAAAGGCTAAGGACCTGCCACAGCTGAGAGGAGGCTAAGGAGACACAAAAACAAAACATAATGAGGTATGCTGGATGGGATCCTGGAAAAGAAAAAGATATTAGGTAAAAGCTAAGGAAATTTGAATAAACTAAGGATTTTAGTTAGTAATAATGTATCAGCATTGGCTCATTGATTACGGCAAAAGTACCATACTAATTTAAGACGGTAATAATAGAGAAAATTAGGTTTGGAGTATATGGAAACTCTCCATACTATTTTCCCAGGTTTTCTGTAAATCTAAAACCATTCTAAAAAATAGAGTTTATTTAACACTAAAAAAAAATAGCAAATAAATGTCATTGGCCTACATAAAATAGATCTTTACAGAAATGGATTTCTGCAAACAAACAAAAAAAAAACAAAAAAACAAAAAACACAAAAAAGTGACACTGTTCTCATAAGTCCAGGACATGGTTCTTTAAAAATACAAAGAAAAAATATTCTTCTTTAAGAGGACCAAGTACTGAATGCAAATCAGGACCCCTGGGTTTTCTTCTCTAAATCTACTATGACTCCCATTATGTACTCATTTTCATCTTATTATTTTTGCCCTCTTAAAAAAATAGTACTGGAATCATGATAATTGTCCTAGGGGAAGACAACATAACTGAGGGAAGGTGCTATTTGTAGAAGCAAAAGAAATAAATTTTGTTAAAATGGCTTCAGAACTTTAAGCCTCTGCAAATCTAATTCAGTGAATGAGTAATAAAACACAGTACAGTCAATTCAAGGTGGAAAAAAACCCCAAAATCTTAGTTTTTCCAGTTACCCTGAATCTTCATTTTAACCTTGAGAGATGTATACCTAAAAAAAAACTTCTATGTTAACATTTAAACCATTAAAGATTTTAAACAGCATGCCTTTAATGACACAGTAGTGTAGGATCAAGTACTTTTATGTTTTAAATGACAAAACGAAATCTGGGGTTTGGCACAAAGAACCACAGAGGTATTCAACATCAACTAATGAATAGGTGGAAAAGATCCTGAAAATGGCTTATTTGTCCTGAAGTTAGAAAGGTGCCAATTCTGAAGTAGTAAAGGAGCAGATGGGACTGAAATAAAACCAGTCTCATTATTTAATAGTAAAACCACCATTCTCTCAGAATCCACTCACCATGTTTATCTTTCAAACCAACCTGTGAAAAAATGTGTTTCATTCCAATGTCTGACAGTTTGCAGAAAATTATAAATGCTTTTTTCCTCCCTGGTCAAGTTCTCTTATGAATAAATACTTCTTAAAGTAAGGGCTGGTCCTCTGCTCCCAAGCGTTTAATTTAATTGAAAATACAGCAACTGTGTTAAACTTTAGACAGTACTTTGTCTAGACAGACATTCTAAAATCTAGGTTGCTCAAAAAAACATACTGTGGGGAAAACTCACTTGCAGGTATCAAATGAAAGAATCCTCTGTAAATCAGGTTTGTCACTCTCATATTAACACTGACGGAATTAACAAACACTTATGGCAATTTCATTATACCTTTTTTAATGTACATTTAAAAAAACTTAAACTTTTAATAATTTTCAAACATACCTAGAAGAAATAGTATAACTGACTCCCCCCCATCACTCAGTTTCAACAATGATCAATATTTGGCTTTTAAAAAATAAACTTAAAAAAGTTTTTAAATTGATTTTTAAATTAAAGCATATGTAACAATTTACCATCTAAACCATTTTTAAGTATAGGTGTCAGTAGTGTCAGACATTTACACTGTTGTGTAACAAATTTCCAGAATTTAAAAGTAAACTTTTAAAACTAGAGTTCATATGCTGACCTGCAGAGTAGCGAAGATTTTAAAAGAAGAATTTAAGAGTTTAAAACTATTACAATCCATCAAGTAAATAAGAAAAATGTTGAATTTATTCTTTTACAATAAAAACTTTTGTTAGGGAATTTTGAAATCTTTTTCCTTTGTTGAAGAAATGTATAAAGGCTCCACATGGAATCCAGGATGTGTGTAATTGCACACTCAGGATTACTATGAAATCTATCACTAATCAAACTGATATGACGGTCCTTTCAAGTTAACTGTCTCTTCAATCAAATCCCTCACTAAAGGAATTTCAAATCACAAGTTTAAATCTCTGCAGTAGTGCTTCTTCACAAAGCCGTGTAATTGAATCTCCTTAGTAGAAAAAAAAAAGACAGCCTTTTTATTTCTAGAGCTCTACTTCAAGTGAAAATTAAACAATTCAATTCATTAGGTTGCTTTTTGGCAGTCTACCTACAGGTTTCACAAACAACTTTTCAGGGAGGTATCTCAGGAGTTCATCAACTGGCAGACCCAGTTAACAGGTCAACTGAACTACAGGGCACTCACCGGTTTCCTTTTTTCCCCTGATTTACTTTTATGTCATCGGACTACAGACATTCAAATCTTATTACAGAAATGTTTCTGAATCTACATTCTGACCAGTCAACCAGTAGCAGTGATATGGAACCTGATTGGGATCAATTTCAAACCTCATTCAGGTCAGTACTCTTCTCTTGTTGTAACTAAGAATGAAAAGAACTGGTTGCAAACCAGGTGACAATAGTCAACACACAGGCAGAAAAGGTTAAGCTTGTCTCCATTGTCACAGATGACTCCCTTTTGCAATCTAAATTTTAGAAATGCTGGCGTTCTGTGTTGCATTCAAGGCCCTTTTCTAGTTAAGGGTAAGAAAACACACATAGCACTGACAGACACTGGTCCAAGAATTGGCAGAAATATTACAGATACTTCAAGAGTTATTTGTAAAAGAAATTCAAGTAATATATTTCTCATAGGTTGCATCTGGTTAACCAACCGCAAGCCTGAGACCCAGAACACAGAAAAGTAGTGTTTCAATACACATAAATATTGAGGCCCAAATTAAATCCACTACCAGTGGTCACATGTTGAGCCCTGGCTCGCCTGATTTCTGCAATGGCACCACATTTCCTAATCCCTGAGTATTTGAAGGCTATATAAAGCTCCTTTAGGGGCACTTGTTTCCCACAACTCTGAGCTGCCAGGAAGTTAAGACAAGGGCATCTAGAGGCCTTAACGTCAAAACTGGAAAGCTCTAGGCTAACACCCTGATTAGAGATTAACTACTTTCTCTGAAAACCTGGAGCTTTTAACTTTAAATATTTTTATTTTATAAGCATATTTTAAATGCTTCCCGACTTTCTCATTTTTCTGTGTGCAGACATCACCTCAGTGCTGTATAAATTAGTCATACTGTAAGCTCTATTTTAGATGCTGGGTACAGTACATATATAGAACGGCCCACAGTGGTTGGAGCTGTGCATGGACCCATTTGCTGTGAGCAGAGTGGGAAAGTCAGGTGGGTTCAATGAATGCCCTGATCTAGTAATCAGAAACCTTCCATGCTACCTCCAGTTCGTTCCAGGACATTTTCTGCGAGGTAGGGTAAGCAACGAAGAGGAGGGTGATTCGCTCCCCAAAACTGCCCAGGGCCGGGCGGGTGCCTGGGCTGCCCCTGCTTCCCACCCCTCCCAGAGGGAGGTCCTCACCTCTAGCTTGTCTGTCAGCTCCTTGTGCATCTGCTCGTACTGCCGGCTCATGTCCTGGTTCCTCTCGAGCAGCGCCTTGCCCAGCCGGGCCGCCAACACCAGATCCTTCTCCTTCTGCCGGATTACCGACAGCAGCTCAGGGTCCTGGGCGGGCGGCGGCTGCGGTCCAGCCCCCTCGGCTGCAGGCCCCAGCTCGGCCTGAGGATGCTCCCCGGGGTCGGACGGCCGCTCCCCGGCCGCCAGCAGCGCCAGCTCCTCCTCTAATGCCAGTTCCAGCTCCCCCGGGCCCCCGGGGAAGGAGATGAGGGCGGCAGCGGCGGCGGCGGGACTCCGGACTGCGTCCCCGGCCGCGGCGGGGAGCTCCATGCAGCAGGCGCTGTCCGGCTCGGCGGGTGCTGAAGCGCGGCCGGCCAAGCCCAGGCAGAAGGCGGACATGGCCCGCGTGCGGAGCCCGCAGCGGTGCGGCCCGGCCGGCGCGCGCCAGGCTGCAGGGGGGAGGGGCCCCGCCGCGCCGCCCAGCGCCCCGCGCCTCGCCTCGCGCCGCGGCACGCGCCCCTCGGGTGCCCGCGAGCCCTGGGCGCGGCGCGCGCCGGCCCGCCCCTCCCCCGCGCCGGCGGCACGCGCCCCCGCCCCCCGCCTCAGCTGCTCGCGCGCGCAGGGGAGGAGAAGGACGAGAGGGTGGGAACGGGAGGCTGAGGAAGGGAAGACTAGGGGACGCGAAGCGCTAGGGGAGGATGCGAGGAAAAACGCCGCTGCCGCCGCCGCCGCTGCCGGGTTTTCAGCCGCCCTGTTGCCGCTGCCGCTGCCGCTGCTGCCGCCGCCGGCCGGGCAGCGTCTCACGGGGCGGGCTGCGCTCCGCTGTCGCTGCGACGCTCGCTGCTGCTGCTGCCGGCGGCCTCTCTCTGCAGCCGCGCTCCATGACCCTCGGCTCGGCGGCAGCCCCAACAGCAGCGGCGGCGGCGGCGGCTGCTGCTGCAGGGGCTGAGGCGGCGGCTCCACATCGCGCGCCGCGCGGCCGAGCGAGCTCCTTCCTGCCTTCCCCGGCTCCTCCCGCTCACCGGGCCTGCCGCACCCCGCCCCGGGCTTCCGGCCGCGCCCCCTCTCCCCGCCCTTTGCCGGCGCCTGACGCGCGCGGGCACCTGTTCGCCGCGCCCGCGCGGGATTCGCCGGCTCGCAGGTCTCCTCAGCGGCGCCCAGGTGGCGCCGGCGGCCTTAACCCCTGCGCTGCCTCAGGCGCCCGGGGCAGCTGCGCGCGCCGTCTGCAGAGGCGGCTGGCGCATACCTAACGGTCCCCACCGCCCCTCCGGCACGGCCACGCCCCCGGCCTCGCGCACACTTAGGGGCGCGGTCCCGCCCTCAGCCCCGCCCCCGGCACGCGCACCTCGGGGTGTGGCCTCGCCCCCCGGCCTAGCTCTCACCTCGGACGGGTCACGGCCCCGCCCCCAGCCTCGTTCTCACCTCGGACGGCGCCCCGCCCCGCCCCCGGCCTCGAGCGCTCCTGTGGGAGCGGGCCCGCCCCCAGCCTCGCTGCCACCTCTGGGCCAGGGCACGTCTCGGGGGCCGGTGAGGCTCAGTCTTGTCGCCACCTCTTAGGTGGTCCCTGGGCCAAGGGCACTGAGGACGTTCCTCTAAGACGGGTGACGGACCAAGCCCCTAGAGAGACTCGCAGTCACGGAATTCAGGTCTGGTCCCCACGAGAGCTCAGCAGTCAGGAGAGGGAGCCCTAGAGAGCAGTAGGAGGAAACCCGGCATCTTAATGGTGATGATGACTCAGGGATATGAAGGACCAGATGCTTCGGAGACCAGCAGCCCGGAGAGAAAGGGCTCATGTGGAGAGATAACGGAAAAAACTACTCAGATGGGAACATGAAGCAAGAAATCTCCCTAATAACAACTACTGTTTATTTGGCACTCAGCGTGTGCCATGTACTGTGTTAAGTGCTTTGTATTCATTATCTTAGATAATCCTCACGGAACTTTTTAAAGTAAATACTGTCACTCTTCTCGTTTTACAGAGGAGGAAATTAAGGCCTGAGAGATGGAGTCGCCCACCCAGGTCATTACAACTGGTAGAGCCACTTTATATATGGCCAGTCTTGAGGACCATAAATGGTCATTTGTGACCAAGGTGGATTGGGTGGACATAGAAGAAAAGCTTCCTGCAATGATTAAAAGAGGGATTGAGGAGCCTACGGGGTGATTTCCAGTCAGTTCTTCCTTTGACCTCATTGGTGATGCTCTGTGTCTCCTATTTTCAGAAACAATCCCTTCTGAAGCTAGAAGTTGTCCCTATTGTTTCCTTTTCCTCTTGGAAGACAACCCATTTTTTAGTTAGATCATACCTTTATTTTTTTCATTCCAGTGAGATGGAAATTTCAGGACATCAAGAGGCTGAAGTGGGTCAAACGGTTTCTTACGGCCTTTATTCCTTATAAAATTCAGAGCCTAAACAATACTCAGCTGTTAACATCGCTATCTACTCCAGACCAAAGGTGATAATCTGAAAGGTCCTGAACCTCAGCGCTGGCTTTGCTCAGGTATTGCCATTTACCATATTAGAAATTAACATGTAGAAAAGTTTTAAATATTTAATTCATATTAAAATACTTATAATAAACCTATTACATGTTACCACAATGTATTTTTATGAACCATAGCTGAATATTCCCAAACAAAAAAATTGGTGAGAAGAGTGGCACTGCTTTTTCATTTTGCAAATCTCTGTCATGTCTGGCTTAACAATAGAAAACTAAATTCTTATATCTACTTCTCTATTCAACATAGTGATATTTTGTTTTGATTGAATTATATGAAGAAAATCAGATCTCACAAATGTATATGGTTGGGAAAAGGAAGAATATTTGAATATCCTTTTTCAGATAATTTTGGATATTTTCTTTGATATTACACCAAAACTTGACAAGTGATAGTTTCTTGAAGGTTAGTTGCAATGTGAAATCTAAAACCATGTCAAGGAAATCCACTGATCTTTCACTTTGAATAGCTCTTTACCTACATATGATTGATTCTATAATGACATGCATTTTCATTTGGAAAATATTTGAGTTATGCAGACCTTCCAAATATTGTCATGTGTCATTATATAATATCAAAAGAATCACATTTATTAATATCACTACTGATCTCATCATAAAAGTTAAGTGTTGGGAAGCTATTAAGCTGACTGAGGTGCATATGAGTTTTCCAAAATTCCTATTTTCACTTGAAAGCTTGAATTTTATCATTGGTAACTAGCATTTTCAATTGTTTTCCTTGAAGGGACAGACTTACTTCATTAATTCTTGCAAAAATGTCTGCCAAATACCCAAATTAGAATACTGCAATTCGTGTCATTAATTTGAATATGAAAAACATGGCTAGTTCAGCTCTCAACTCAAATGGTGGTACAAGTCAACCATCATACTTCAAGATGCAGCAGAAGTGCTTTCTGGGTACTTCCCATTTCATCACATGGGATATTAAAAAGCTGTGTACTCGAGGGTCTAGATTTCATAAAGTACACTTCATCAGGGACATGCTTAAGTTAAACTAGCACATGGGAGTGGAGAATAACATATCTACCAGTACACTTTGGTACCACTGCCTTGAATCATGCTTAAGGTATCAGTTGTGTTACCCACCACATTGCTTTTACACTGTCAGTGCAAATGTCAACAGAGTTAAAAATAGTATCAGACAATTTAGCATTATTATGAAATTTGTTTTACTATTATTAATAAAATTAGCGTTACTGTTGTTACAATTTTTCTGAAAATAATTTGGTTTTTTTTTTTTTAATTTGGTAGCCTTCCTGAAAGGCTCCTGGGGACCTTTAGGGGTCGGTGCACCACACTTTGAGAACTGCTGATTTAGAGCCATGCAAGTCTGTTAGGTCAGCTTTGAGGTAACAGAATGAACATGTATCTGCCTACATGGAAATTAGTGCCAGAATTTAAAATTTATCAAAGCAAAGTTATGAAAACCCTCGGGCTTCTAAGAAGCATATTGTTTATTCTTCTTCATGCTAGAATAATAGCAACTAACATATATTTAGCATTATGTTCCGTATGTCCTTTATGTAATACTGTCTCATTTAATCCTCACAATAACTCTATAATGCTAGTGTGTAATACAAATATATTCTAGTACATGATACTATGATTTTTTTTAGGTCTGTCTGATTCTTAGTTATCATGATTCATACTGTATATTTTTATCATTTATATATGCGTTTACAATATATTTGCATTAGCGTTGGTTCTGGTACCTGGATTTTCTGGTGAATTGGAGCATGACCCATCTTAACATACTATGGATGAATTTCCACATAAGCACTGTTACCTCGCTAAGGGAAAAACATGAAATTTTCCTTCTTCAAAATCCTGATATTTCCAAATATGACAACACTCATCCAATTTTCCCAAGTTGTTTACTTCTATTAACATCTTGATCTGTAAAAACTGGGAAGTGTAAAAGAGAAAACATTTTCCAGAAAATTTGTTTGCAAAAAGCCAAGTGTTGAAGAAACATGAAGAGCTGGCAAAACGTGTGATAAAGCAGTTTTGTGGTTGGTATTTTCATTTAGCAGTGATGTGTGTGTGTGTTTATGTGTGTGCATGCACACATGTGTACCTGCACTTGAGCATGTGTGTTTTAAGCTCTACATTTTATTTATGAACTAGTTGTGGAAACATAAAAATCTCAAAAGTTCCCAAAGTGTTGCACAAAGCATTTTATATCTTTTTAGAGATGAGTTGACTCAACATTTTGCAAAGTGTGATGTGTATACCCTTGGTTGTTCTCAAGTTTATTTTTAGGGGAAAAATATTAACTTCAGTGGGTGATGCTCACCAGCCTCAGTCTTTAGCAGACACCTTGCCTTGCTGGGTGTAGGGCAGTGTCTTCTCTGCTACCCAGAAGATGAGTTGAAGCCTCATCTTGTCCCTACCCCGCTACACAGTGTGAGTCCCCAGTTTCCTCTCCTCCAGCTTCTGTCCCTTCCTACCAACACCCCTGCCCAACTTTTCCAAGCGAGAGCTCCTCCTCTCTCCCAAGGATTTGCCTAATCCCCCAGGTCCAGCTGCCTTGTTACCTGTGCCCATTATTCCCTGACCACTATTGTTTTCAGCCGTGGACCCATTTTCCTCCCTTCTGATTAGGCATCTTTAGGCTTTCCCCCTAATGATAAAAAATATGGATTCATGAGCCAGACTTCCTGGGCTGGAATCTCAGTTGTGCCACGTACGAGTTGGATGACTTTGGATCTTTGTGCCTCAGTTTCCTCATTTATAGGATGGAGATAACAATGGTACTTACCTAATAAGTTTGGTCTTAAGACAAAAAGATTTCATATGTGTAAAGCTGTTAAAATGGTAGGATATGGTGAGTACAATACAGGTTTGTTTTTTTTCTTGAGATAGAGTCTCACTCTGTTG